GCCTGCCGAACCCGTGCGCCCCCCGCTTCCCGGACCCCCGATCTCTCCCCTTCGGCTTTCCTTTCCCGGGCTCTGTTCTCGTCCCAACTCCTCTCCTACCCTTCTGACACCCCTCCTCTCCTGATCCTCCGATTGCCTTCCTGCAACCTAGCCTCCTCTAGGTTGCAGGCGACCCCTTCCTCCAACCCTCTGCCCCTCCCCTCCTGACCTCCGATTGCCCCCCTGACCCCTAGCCTCCTCTTCCTCATCCTTGGGCTCCAGTCCCTCTCCCCACACCTTCCCGAGCCTCCGCCCTCTCCCCAGCCATTCCAACCCCTTCCTTCCTGGGTCCTGAGTCCCCTGACGGCCCCAGCTTCTTGTCGCCCAATTCTCCCTTCTGGGTCCCGGCCACCCCCACCCCCCATCCCCTTCTGGGTCGTAGATTCTTCCTGACCCCTTTTACTTGGGCTCTACCCCCCCCACACACACACACACACTGGTTCCCGGACCCAGCCAAGGCCTCCCCTCCCAGCCCCCTTACTTAAAACTCTCCCACCGCCAATCCGGGACGCCCCACCCTCCCCACCTGCAGATCGATGACGGCGTGGCCAGCCTGGTCATTGCACAGCTGCTGTTCCTGCAGTCCGAGAGCAACAAGAAGCCCATCCACATGTACATCAACAGCCCTGGTAAGCAGGGCCTTTCTTGGGTGCCAGGGGTGCTCGCAGGGATGCATAGGTGACTCGGGGGGCCAAGATCCCCTGCCAGGGGTGTGCTGAGCTTTAGAACCCCAGAAGTGTCTTGAAAGTGGCAAAAACTTCCTGTTGCTGGCTTTTAAGCCAAGGTTCACAAACCAGCAGTGGGACTCACCCCACAGAATGGCTTCTTTGATCCCACTAGTGTTCTGTCGACCAATTTTAAAATTGGTAGCGTTGCCCCACTCAAAAAGAGGATAGTTCTGTCCAGGAGTTCGAGACCAGCCTGGGCAACATAGTGAGACCCTGTCTCTACAAAAAAATTTTAAAATTACCCATGTGTGGTGGCGCATGCCTATAGTCCCCAGCTACTAGGGAGACTAAGGCGAGGTGATCACTCAAACCCAGAAGGTCAAGGCTACGGTGAGCCATGATCGTGCCACTGCACTCCAGGATGGGCGACAGAGTGAGACCCTGTAATTCCAGCACTTTGGGAGGCCAAGGCAGAAGGATTATTTAAGACTGAAAATTTGATACCAGCCCGAGCAACATAGTGAGACCCTGTCTCTACAAAATAAAAAAAAAATTTTTTAAAAAGAGAATAGGCCAGGTGCAGTGGCTCAGCCTGTAATCCCAGCACTTTGGGAGGCCGAGACGAGAGGATTACCTGAGCCTTGAGGGTCTGAGACCAGCCTGGGCAACTTGGTGAGATCTCATCTCTACAATAAATCACAAAAACTAGCTGGGCGTGGTGGCATGCATCTGTAGTTCC